TTGTGGCGTGGGATTTCCGGTTTGCTGGGCTTCGTATGTACATAAGGGCTTCCGACCCTCGAACCTTCACACTCCACGTCCTGAAAGCCTAAAGCATTAACCTTATGTAAACCTTGAGCCTTGAAACGCTCGGCCTCCAAACTCTTAGCTCTTCCACCCTTCCCTGCCTCCTCCCCCTTCCGGCTTTCTCTCCTTGTGCCTACCCCTCCCGCGCTCAGGTCCGGACCTCTTCGCATTGTTTGCCAGGCACTTCTTTGCTAGGCTTCGGGGATTCTCAGGTGGTTTGGGTTTTCCGAGGCTGCGAGGTCCGAATGCGCAAGGCTTGGTTTTGTTGTGGGTCGTTTCGGAGCTTGGAAGGTGTGGGGCTCCGATGCAGCCAGGCTTAGAGTGCGGGCGCTTAGAGTTTCTGTGGGGCTTCGGGGTTTGTTCGGGGTTTTACCCTGCCTTGCCCTGCTCCGCCTTGCCCTGCCTTGTTCTGTTCTGCCCTGCCCTGCCTCGTCCTGGTCTGTCCAGTCCTGCCCTCTTCTGTCCCGCTCTGTCCTGTTTTTTCTTGCTCTGCCTGCCCTGCGTGGTGTTGGCCAAACACTTAAACTCCTTAACCCCGAAAGCCCAAAGCTCGAACCTTTAACCCGCCCCCGCGTTCCAACGGCAACAACTTCCAAATCCTAAGACCCTATATCCCCAGATCCTAAAGCCCTTAATCCGAAAACCCCGAGCCCTAAAACACTAAACCCCAAAATCCGAAGCCCTCCCGCCCTTCCTTGCTTCCTTACCCTTCCTGCTTCCTCTCCCTGTGCCTAACCCTCCCGCGCTCAGGTTATGATCTCCTCGCTTCGATTCGCCGGGCACCTTCTTCCCCTAGGCTTCAGGGATTCTCAGGTGGTTTGGGTGTTCCGAGGCTGCAAGGTTCGAGTGCGCGTGGTTTCGGTTTTGTTCGGGGTCGTTTCGGAGGTTGGAGGGTGTGGTTGTAGGCGACATCTTCGAGCTGATTTCGCCTATAGAGCCGAGACGGCACAAAGGAGAGATCCAACAGCGCTACCCTCAATCTTGGGTGGCATCAACACACGTGCGGCAAGTTACTTGTGTTGTGCCGTGCAGTACCTGCAAACCCGATGTCTAGGAAGGGCAGGGGCGTGCAAAGGAGCTTGTAGGTTTGATGTTGACGCAGGGCGAGGGTTTCCAACACCATGCGTTGTTAACGTTGGAGCTGGACAAGCGTGGTACGACAGCCTGTACTTTGGATGTTGAAAATGTACAAAGCTTCTAGGAAGGTCTTGCGTTTCAGACGGGAGGTCGAATTTGAGCCCGTGGGCTTCGCAGTTTCCTGGTTTCTCGTCCGAGGTGCTTGCGTGATCTTCTGCCTCTTCGGTTCCGCCCGGGGCCCATTCGCGTGCCAACTATCCACATCAAATCTTGGGACGCACGGTTTGAACTCTTGATTCGGCTTACATTGCCTCTTTGGGTGGCAGCCGTTTGTATCGAGCATCATCGCGCCCACGACACTCTTTACCGCCTGGGAAGGCGCGCCCGGCACTCCTCCCTCTGCCTCTCTTCCTCTGACTAGTTCCTTTTCTTTTGTTGGAGGGTGATTTTTTCCCCTTCGATCTGGAGGATGTGCTGGCTTCTGATGGGCGCCCTTTTGCTCCTGGCTGGTGTGCCTTGGATTCTGACAGCGGCTGTGGTTCATCGGGTTTGGTACCTTACGGGTTTGGGTTGTGATCGTATTAGCCTGTGCATTCGTTGCCTCTCCGATTGCCGTTGCGTTCCAGCATATATATTCCTGCATGGTTTGTATTTGCCAAGGCCCAGCCACCTTCTGACGGGGAGGATGCTCGGCTTATTTGGCGTCTTACCCGCCGTGCTTCTCTGTTGCTGCAAGAGAGCCTCCTCCGTGCTCTTTCCGAGGCGGTCGACCGCCGCGTCTCCTGGCCTCTGTTAATCTTTCGCCCTTATCTGTTTGCCTCCTCCTTCTGTCCCTTTTCTTTTCTCTCTTCTCTCGCTCTTGCTTCCTTTGCCTATTTTCTCGGGTTGCGTTCTTGGCCCCTTTCGTGGCTTTGCAGGTCGCTATGGAGGTCGGTGACGATGCGGACACCGACACCTACGCGCCTTGTTTTCTCCGTCTAACTCTCTCTGTGTCTGTCTCTCTTTCTGCTTCTCCCGTCTTTGTGTGTGTGTGTGTCTCAAGCCGAGGAGTGGGACGAGCAGAGCTTTTACTACCCCACGCCCGAGTCGGCAGGGGAACTGGACGTGTCCTGCCTAGAACTTTGTTGTGCTGCTGCTGGTGTCCTTAGTGCCTCAGCCGTGCACAGTCTTAGGCGGAGCCGGCAGCAGCACCCTCTGGACCAGTTTCGTGGCTTGAGTTCGCCTCTGTTTCTCTCTCGTTTCTCTCTCTCTCTCTCTCTCTCTCTCTCTCTCTCTCTCGCTCTCATTCTGCTCTTTTGTTTTCTCTCTGTCGTTCACGCTCGTCGTCTCTCTTGTGTCGCTTTTGCTCTCTCTCCCTCTCTTTCGCTCTCTCTCTCTCTCTCGCTTTTGCTTCCTCTGTTGGGTTTCTCGGGTTACGTTCTTGGCTTCTTTCGTTGCTTTGCAGGCTGCTGTGGAGGACGGCGACGACGCGGATGCCCACGCTTATGCGCCTTGTTTTATCCGTCTTACTCTCTCTCTCTCTGTCTCTCTCTGCTTCTCCCGTCCGTGTTGCTGTCTCTGCTCTCTTTTCTTGTCCTCTTGCTTGTGTGCGTGTGTCTCAAGCCGAGGCGTTCGACGAGGAGCCGTGCGGCGGCGGCTTCTCCACACCGGACTGGGCAGCGTTGGCCGTGCCCTGCTTCGAACGCTCCTGTGTTGTAGTTGTAGGTGTTTCGGCTCTTTCTGCCTTATGTTGTCTCCTTTTCGCTCGCTCTCTCTCTCTCTCTCTCTCTGGCTTCTCTCCTTTTCTTCTACATCTCTCTCTTGTCGCTCTCTTTGTCTCTCTTGTCTCGTCTTTGCTATCTCGTTGCTAACGTCGGGCTGTGTTTTTGGCTGCTTCCCTTGCTTTGCAGGTTGCTGTTGGCAGCTTCGATGACGGGGAGACGGAGGCCTTTGCGCTTCGCCTTCTCCGTCTTGCACCTTTTCTCTCCTACTCCCCCCCTCCCTGTTGCTGCCTCTGCTCTCTTCTCTTTTGCTCGTCCCTCTGTGTAACTGGAGCCGAGGAGCTCGACGACTCCCCCATTCCCGCCGCGTCCGTGGTGACTGGGATTGCTTTCTTGACTTGATCCTGATAAGAAACTTGGTCGTTCTTCTTACGCAATCTCTAGCCCAAGAGTTGCCTTCGTCGAGCACTGACGTGCCTGCGTTTTGGCTAGACTAGATGCGTGTTGCTGCATGTTGGGGTTGGCTGCACTCGGTTGTTATCGGGGTTGATGCGCTCCTTTAACGGCCAGTCGTCACATGACGACGCACTCGAAAAGACACTGATCCAAGATCATTCCGCTACTGCGCCACTCTACGGCAAACCCTAAACCCTAAACCCCTAAACCCCTAAACCCTAAACCCCTAAACCCTAAACCCTAAACCCCTAAACTTTAAAGCACAAGCCGAGGCACAATGTCTTCATCCAGAGCAGCATCCTGCTTGCTGACCTCAAGGGTGCCGAGGTCGGTGCTTCGTTTGGGCTTAGGGTTTAGGGTTCAGGGTTTAGGGTTTTGGGTTTGGGCTTAGGGTTTAGGGTTTAGGGTTTGGGTTTAGGGTTTAGGGTATCAATCTCGGCTCCCCAAACAAGAAAACCGCTCCAACTACCCCATCCCTCCCATTGTACTAGTACTACGGTTGATGATATAAATCTTGCATCGCTTTAAGGGCCCTGAACTATATGCGAATTGTGGTATATTCCTTCTTATGGGTCATGCAGGATTTATATCATCAACCCTAGAGGGTCATACACTACCCTTTTTTAGGGTACCTACTTTTATGGTTAGGATCTCCTATATAGAAAGGCAGGTACCCAAAAAAAGTGGTAGGGTATGAGCCTATAGGACCGTACCACTGTTCTGCTCTACTTCTCAGCCCCAGAGCAAGTCAAGCTGTCCTGAATCTACCCGATCGGAGCTCGGAGAATCTTTTAGGGTTTAGGGTTTAGGGTTCAGGGTTCAGGGTTTAGGGTTTAGGGCCCCCCCAATATATAACCTAGCAGTTGCCTATATAATTACGTATAAGCATAACACCAGCATGAATTTAGTAGTGTAGAGTATGATGCACTATAATGCTCATCTTTCCATATGACACTTTATGAGTACATGGTAAACAATGCAATGAGTAAATGAGAACATGATACAATATGTTACGATTTGTCTTTGCTGTCCCTTTGCAGCTGCCGGCTCAGACAGCTCCTTTTTGAGAGGGTTTAGGGTTTGACGTGTAAGGGTTTTGGGGTTTGAGAGTTTTTAGCGCTTCGGGTTTAGAGTTTAGTTGTTGCTTTGACGTTGCTCCGCTTGGGTGCTGGCTTCTAGGGTGTTCTTAAGGGCTACTTTGAGAGCAAATTCAGAGGCACCCTTAGGGGGGTAGGGGGCCTGAATTCATGCCCGTATTGAGGACCTAATAAGGCCTCTTTGAGGAAGTATAGTCCCCTATCCCTATTTTACATTGATCGCAAGCTTATTCAACGACTGATGGATTGAGCGAAGTACGGGAAGCCCAGCTACCACCAACACAGCGGAATACCTTATACATGTTACTTTTACTACAAAATACTATAACAGCAACCACATTCATTATCGTAGCCGATGGATTCGTACACAAGTGTCCAAGCACTGTCGACAGTAGTTAACCTGGAGACAACGTGGCTCCTACTTGGAGGGTCGGTGGATTTAGTAACTAGTTATTTTGGAGACTTATAAGTACCATAACCTCGATGAGAACCCCTTTTAGGTACTCTACTTGTCACCTACTTACTAAGTGCCCCGACCCTCCAAGTAGGCCGTGATGCTCGTATGTGCCGAGGGGCACAGATGCAGCAGCGACGTCGCGCATGGATGGCGTCCGTGGCTGAGATACACGAGCTCCTGCAACAACATCTGCAACCCTCTGTGGTCAGCTACAATGGGTCAATCAGCGCATGCGTCAGAGGCAGAAACTGGCAGCTGGCCATCTCCAGTTTGGATAGTGGCTGTGACTTGGCTCTCGAATTCTGAAGGGGTCTGAGCAGTTGCTACCAGTATGACAACTAGCTACTATAGTATAACAGACCCCGAAACCCGATTCGTGCGACGAAGGTCTACCGGACCACTGAGAGCTTTTGGGGCTTGTTTTCACAGCCGGGAAGTAAGGCCGCACAGGCCTTTAGGGCATAAACATCCAGAGCCCGACAAAACCGTATATGTAGTTTGACCATAAACTGAATATACTTAAACCATGAAGCCTTATAAACCAAGCAAAACAGGCAAAGTAGCCCTTTATCGCGGTGGCCATAACAGAGAAGGCATGAACCGTGAAGAGAAAGAAAGGTGAAACCCAGACTCTTCCGCATCCGGATATTGCCTCCTACAACTCTGCCATCAGCGCCTGTGAAAAGAGTGCACACTGGCACGAGGCGTTACAGGTGCCTTTGCTAGGAGGGGGGTTCGGTTTCAGGATTTGGGGCTTTGGGTTTAGGGCTTGTGGTTCAGGGTTCGGGGTCGCAGTCTGGAGGTTTCAGTTTTAGGGTTGGGGCTTCGGCGGTTTCAGTTCAGGGGTTGGTGGTTTGGTTCTTTCGGTTTTAGGGTTTACGGTCATAATTCCTCGACTTGGCTACCCCCCCCCCCCCGGCCAACGATTTCAACTTGAGTGACGCCAAGAAGGCGGTGCAGTTTACTTGAAACCCACACGCCCAGTTCCACGCTCCTTGCATCCTCCTTCTCGCACCTATTGGTGCCATGCTAAGCTCATATGTGCAGCAGCCGGGCCATGAAGCCCTAAACTAAGCCCCTAAAACCGAAAGCGTGAAACCCTTAACCCCGAGGCAGCTAACCCCACAGCACACCTGTGACGATGTGATGGTATCTGGTGCATGGTCCAAAAAGCACAGTGCCATTTACTTGTGGAGTAGACCTTAGACATAAGAGGGCTTGTCATGACTAGTGACTAGAAATATGGAACCCCGTATTGAAGGATATTGAGTACAAGATCATTGGACATATACCCTGCCGCACGAAGTCCACTGAACCTTGGGCTCACTTACGGAACATACCTCAGACTAAAGAGGATCTCTTACTACCTTGGGGAAGTTCCCCCAGTGAACAAACCCAGACCCCAGCACACGTAAACCCGAACTCATAAAATCCTAACCCATGAAACCCTATAAACCGTAAACCCTAGATCCTGAACCATAAACCCTGCACCCTTCTCTGGATTCAAGGTTTTTGAGACCGTTGCCACCAGCCAGCTTCGGCCGACCGTCATCAGCTGCAGTGCAGCCGTCAGCTGCTGGTTCTTGCTTAAGGAGCTTTGAGCATTAGAATGTAGATCTTCCTAAGACTTTCCCAAAGGGTCCTATGTACCGATATAGTAGAATGTAGATTTCCATATTAGGATTTACTACTATGGCTTAGGGAAGTATCCCCCATAACAGTACATACGGTTGGTGATATAGATCCTGCATTACCCATAATAAGGAATATACCATAATTCCCATAGTTTAGGGTCCTTAGGGTAGTGCAGGATTTATATCATCAACAGTAGGATCCTTTGTTTTTTTTGTTGAATTTTCAGGGTTTAGGTTTTACGGCTTTTAGAACTTCTAGGGGTCGGGGCCTTAGGGGCTTTTAGTGCTTGCAGCAGCTTTTAGGGTTTAGGGTGTAGGGCTTGCGGTGTAGGCGTTTTAAAGTTTTGGTTTAGTGCACTTAGAAGTCCGGTGACCTATAATTTAAGGGCACCTACTATCTGTATCCCGCTCATAGACATATGTAATTAAGTAGTAGGCTTCCAGGGATTCTAAAGGGACTTAAAGCTGTGTAATTACCAAAGTAGGCATTTGCACAGTATTCGCGATATACCCTTGCTGAAACTAATATATTAAGCTGCATGACAAGAAGCCAGGTTCGTGCGAGAAGGGGGTAGCGTGGACAGAGGCGCTGGCTCTTCTGCGAGGCGTACAGAACGCAGAGTTTGCGGTTTCGGCTTAGGCAGTGCTTGTTTCTACTGCTTAAGTACTTGGACACTAGGCCCTTGCCCTTATAGGCACCACGACCACTACCATCACCACCACCAACAGCAGCAGCAACAACAATGGCAGCAGCAGCAGCAGCAGCAGCAGCAGCAGCAGCAAGAACATCACGATCATCGCATGTTCACATGCATGGCAAGGTCATATGAGGGGTCGGAACAAACACTTGTAGTGCCTTTCAGATCCTATCAGCAAGTTGAAGCGGTTTGGGTGTCCATGGAACTTGCATTCCATCTACATCATGCTCTGGCTATGGAGCTCTCGCCAATCGTGTTGAGTCGGCGCTTGTGGGGTTTAGCGTTTAGAAGATAAGTATGGCCTTTAAGCTGCAGGGCTCTTGCATGAACGATTCTGATGGCCTTGAGGTTTGGCACGCAGCAATGTGCAAGCCGATATATTTACATACAGCGCCCTCGTTACCGCCGGCGGCAGGGCCCTGTACTGGAAGTCAGCTATTGCCGTGATGTTCGTCATGAAGCAGCGAGAGCTGCAACCGAATTTGGCAACTTCGTTGCAGAATGGAACGGCTAAGTGTCTGGTCACGTGTAATCGGTGTAGCAGTGCACTGGTTGGTCCAATTTCCTTTGGTTGTATAAGATTTGATGCTAGTGGGTCCGTCGAAGCCAAGTTTGCAGTCGATAGGTCTGCACTCATTTGGGTGGTTGTCAAAATTATGCTCCTTTTGTTGGGTCCCTACTATAGTATGGCACCTAATATTTAGGGTACCCAAGAAGGGACCATATTTTTTGACAACTACCCATTTAGACGGATGAGGTCACCTACAACGCAGCCATGGCGGCCCTCGTTGAGGGTGGCGAGTGGTTCCGGTCAGTTGAAATCATGGAGAGTATCCAGGCTGTTCAGTGGTACACTTTTTTACTTTCACGTTTCTGAGTTCCTATTATAAAATATAAGAAGCCTAAAGAAGTATATACTGTTTCCCGGTGGGTTACTTAACAGCCTAGGTATCTACAAGCACAAACTTCAGCCAGACATCGTCAGCTACGGAGCTGCAGTTTCTGCTCATGGACGAGGTCGCAGTTGGGAGAGGAGCTGTTACCTGCTGAAGGAACTTCGAGAATGTCGCCTGAGACTGGATTTGGTGACCTACAACTCTGCACTCATTGCGTGTGAAGCAGCAGGGCAGTGGCGACAGACACTGCTCCTGATGGAGGCGATGGCCATGGATCGTCTGCGAGGTTGGTGTTTCGGAAAACTTGTCTTTCCTTGAAAAGCACTTAGCCTTAGGATCCGACCATAGGTGCTCCCAAACCGAGATCTTCTTTTATCATCGAACCCCCAAGGTGATGTGATTTCTTTCAGTGCTGCGGTGAGCGCCTGCGACCGAAGAGGAAGATGGCAACCGGCCTTCTTTCCTGAGGTGCAGTTGCTCCCTTTCTTAGGCAGCTTGAGGCTGGCTTTGTTGCACTTAGCGAGATCATGATCACTTGGGTACGGCCCCCACTCAGTAATAGTTGAATAATATTCGTAGTATAGATATATTAGGACCTTAGAAGTAGCCCTATTATAGACTCTTGCTGTATGGGGGCAGTACCGAAATGATCACCCTGTGAATGTGGAGAATGTTGCAGAAAAGTCGGATTGGCTTCACTCGGTAGTCTTGCAAAGCGCTCCAACCCTAAACCCTATGAAAAGCCGACCCAGATGATTATTCGCGCTGGAACACGTATTAAAGCAGCTTACTTCAGACAACTTAAATGCTTCGTATCTTGCTACGTACAACCTTCTCAACTTTCAGAGAGGCTCGTGACTAAACTCTAAACCTACATGCGCCAAAAACGACACCCGAAGCCCTGGACTTAAACACCAAGGCCTTATAATCCTTGCCACCAGCCTGAACCCTGAACCCAAAGCCCTAGAACCCCAAATTTAACTTCCTAAACCCGAGACCCAAAGCCCCACAGCCCTGCAACTCCCTTATTTCTTAATCCGAAAAAACCTTGGACCTTAGACCCAAAGCCCTAAAGCTCTACAACCCCCAGAAGCCCTAAGCTTGAACCCTAAAACAAAAACCCTCAGCTCTAAGCCCTAGGCCCTTTAAAAGAGGGCTTGAAAGGAGCCCTCTTTAGGATCCCCTTAAAAGAGAACCCTATAAGGCCTAAGCCAGAGGCCGGGCTCAACCGACTACTCTCCGAGGGGCTGCGGCCGGACGGCTTCTCTTTCGGACCAGTCATCCGAGGTCTTTGGGGGCCCAAGTTTTGGGTTTAGGGTTTGGGGTTTTAGGGTTTTAGGGGTTTAGGGGTTTAGAGTTTCGGGGTTTAGGGTCTAAGGTCTGAGGGTTTTGGGGGCCCAAGATAGCAGGTTTAGAGTTTAGGGGTTTGGGGTTTAGGGGAGTAGGGTTTAAAGTTTAGGGTTTAGGGTTTAAGATTTAGGTTCACAACTGATATGGAAGTCCCCGGTGGTCGAGCACGTGAGACAACCACAGCCATTGCATGCAGTTTTGGGAAACATCTAAAATTCATCCATCACCAACCGAAGAATATCCGCCGCCGAAGTTTTGAGAATAGCATCACGCTTCAGTTCCATCTTAAGCTCATCTCTGCACTGTTTCAAAGCAGGTGGACATAAAGCAAATGCCTTGCGAGCACAGTCGTCAGCAATGCCATTATGATAGATACGCCAGAGGTCATATGTGTTGCAAGCATCATACATGTTCCGATGGGCCTTAATCCACATAATGTTGATATCATCATCCAGACGTGTTCTCAAGAGAGATGCTGCCGTCTTAATGAGGTCACGGTCCGGGTGTGATGCCCACTTGAGCGGTTGGTATCCAAAGCGCTGAACATGGTGAATATCACGAACCACAGCAGAGTTGTCACAGTATATTCTCGCCTTGACTCCCAGAGAAATAACAACCAGCACAGCAAAAAGTTCTGCCCTAAAAACCGTCTGCTGCCTTCCAGGTAGGATGCCAGAAGTGACCAACTTGTTATCGTGGGTCAAGTATTTGGCTTGTGTCACTGACCAAGAACAGAGACGTTCCACAGGTGACGAGGAATCTTCTGCTGACCCATCTGTGAAAAAATCAGCATAACCTTCAACCTCCTCAACGGAGCCATTGGCCGGTGCCGAAAGTTCATCCAGAGCGTGCCTGTATTTAGCAACCAAGGGGAACTCCCCTTGGTTTAAGATTTAGGGTTTAGGGTAGGGTTTAGGGTTCAGGGTTCAGGGCTTAAGGAAGTTTAGGGGTAGGTGACCACCAGTGACCCGAGGCCTTTGGGGCTTAAGATAGCAGTCCTTAGTGAGTAGGGCTTACGGTTTAGGGTTGGGGGTCGAGGGTCTGGGGTCTAGGGTTTACTGTTTGGGGTTTGGGGTTGAGGGTTTAGTGTTTAGGGTTTAGGGTTTTGTGTAGGGCTTAGGGTTCAGGGTTTGGGGTTCAGGGCATAGGGCGCAGACCCCCAGAACTTCCAATACAACGTAATTGAGGAATACACCCCAAACTGTATTGCAGACCCTACTCCAGCTTAAGGTATATGCCTCATAATTCAGGGATATTTGAAGGCCGGGTATCAGGCCTTAGTAGCAGAGTAGGTAACCTTTAGCAGGTGGTATTGTGATCCTGTTTTCCCATAGTTATCCTTGCTCCCCTAGCATACTGGACAAATAAGAGCCTACACATTAAAGTTACTACGTCCCGAAGGGTCCGTACAAAATGATAGCATAACTTGCAGCCAGAGTCCTGTTCTAACTGCTAACTGTTCATGCCCCTATGTCAGGACTTCATATATAAGACAGGTCGTTTAGGGTTGCTACAAAGGCTTCTACAAGCCTACGAGTTTTCTTATTTCAAGACGTTCTGCAAGATTCTAGGAGGGTTTTGGGGGGTAGGGTTTAGAGTTGCGGGTCGGGATTGCAGCTCTGGGTTTGGGGAGACTAATCTATACCTCAACCCGGAATAGCCTGCCTTTTAAGGACTTTTATACGGAAATTATGATAAGGAGCCACAAAAAGGTAGGTTATGCTGAGTCAAGGAATGGGTTACTGTATGTCGGGCTTGGGTGTCTCGTTACAACAAAACCCAAACCCGACAAACCCAAACCTACATAATTAATCCTAAGCCAAACGAGAAGAAAGTCCACACCCCGAGAACTCCGAGCCCAGACCCAATTCTAAGCCTAAGCTAAAGAGAAGCTCTCTTGGACCCGACAGGACATGAACGACAGGGTGATTCCGCAAGGGCGGACGGATGGTCGGCGGCTCAAGAAGGGTTTCGGGTTCAGGGGTTTACCTATAGTCTCCATTGTAGTTCCTTTTTTTGTTAACCAAAAAATTATATCATAGGATCCTGACCGTAAAACTGGTTAACCAGAAAAAAACTACAATGGAGACTATAGGTCGGGTTTAGTATTTAGTTTTGAGTGCGTTTGAGATTGAGTGCTTTTCCTAGGGAGCTGCGAGGGTTGACAGAGTCTCATACTGAGTCACAAACTTGCTCCTAAAGCCGCAAACCCCAAGGCCCAAGCCTTGTAGAAGGTTGAGGGTGGGTGAGTGCTTCGTTCGCACTGTTTTAAAGTTACTCCGTTCGGTGGGGCTCTCGAATCTTTCGCACCCGCGCTCCAAAGCACACACTTAGGGATTGCGCTCACTTCGACGCTCCGGAAGTCCAACGAAAAACCGCGATGCCTTAACCAGACCCTAAACCCTCAACCCATAAACTTCCAAAATCCTTTCATTAAGGAATATACCTTCAATTTCAGTAGGATCCGTTATATGATTTAAGGTATATTCCTTGATTAAGGGATTTTGGAAGGTCTGGGAAGCCCAGACCCTGGTGAAAGGTGTGCCGCAAGGACGAGAAGCTTTGTAGTGCGATGTATTGGATAGCAAGGGTCGAATAACATGATCTAGGGTTTGGGGGGGGGGGTTAGGGATTTACAATTGGGTTTAGGGTTTAGGAGCAACAGTTCATTGGGAATTGGGATAGCTTCATTCGTTGAAAGTGTGAGGGTAGACCCTGAGGCTGAATGTACCCATATAATATAGACTTCGGCCTTCAAGGGGTACCTATATACCTATATATATGTATATATATATATATATATATATATATATATATATATATATATACATTACAGGCTTAAGTATATAGGTACATTGAGCCTTAGGGAGAGTTTCTTGAGCCAGCCGCGAATGTAGTATGACCGCGGCATGGAAGCAGCTCCCATAGGTGTCTCTTGAGGTCGCCTACCTATCGATCCCAGATATATCCCTAAGGGTCCATGTAGCCAGATAGCATAATGTATATACTATTTGGGTACATGGACCCTTAGAGGGTATACTGTAGGTGCTTGGGCCTTGTGGTTTCGATGTGCAGATTGCCTGAGAGACATGGCAGGTGCATCCGGATGAATGTGCTGGGCGTGCAGGTGAACCCCGGTTCACGGATTTGATTGTGGAGACAGCTGCGATGTCTTAAAGGATCATGGGACTTCTAGAAATATGTGGCTCATAGATACGGTGACTGTGTAGTAGACTTACTTGTAATCCTAGTTATTGTCCGGTTACGCGCCTACCCGTGTGCAATGGACAATACCGCAGGCTCTTCCTGGATTTGGGGTACTTCGTCCGTAAGGGTTAAAGTCCAAACCTCGAAAGCCTGATCTGAAATCGCAGACCCTACATGCTGGAAGCTTATACTTTCCTTATGCCGAGACCGTAGGTCATAAATCCCAGCCCCTCGACCCTGCAGCTTGAGCACAGACCTTCAGCTCATGAAAACGACAAAACCTGAACCGTATACCCTAAACCCCAAACCTTCCAGCCCTGTATTCATAGTACCCTTGTAGAACCTCTGATACAACCCTTCGCTCGTTCCGCATTTCCAGTCCCCGGCCTCTAATCGTCTCCCCGGCAGCCTGACGCCGTGTCAGAGCCGACCCTCACGTAGCGCACCACTTCCTTCCCCCATAAATTAAGGAATTTACGTTAAATGATATTGGGGATCCTACTATAATTTGAGATATATTCCTCAACCAGGGATATTGGAAGGTCTGGGCCCTTCAGCCTTCTCTAAATCTCACGTACTCTGGACTTTCGCGTGCTGGAGCAGGTGGGCCACAAACCGCGAGACTTAAGCCACCGCAGAGCCACCCTCGGCGACCCAAAATCGGCGAGATGCAGGGCTGCAGGGTCCACCTGAAAGCAGGAAACCTACAATCTTTTGGTGCTGGTATCTGTTCTTGGTATAGCTCCTTGAAGAAGGCGTTTGTTCCGGGCTGAGATAGGGCCAGGGTCCAGAGTTTCGCGTTCAGAGTTTTAGGGCTGTTGGTATTCATGGTTTGTTGGCGTTTTAGGCGTTGCTGAAGCTCCAAGGCGGTCTTGTTGCTGCTGTCTTTTTGTAATTATTTATAGCTGTCTTGCTAGCAAGACCATGGTGTTTCCAGGCAGAAGAACCGGTCCTGGTGTGGCTCAGGATTTAGG